TTCTATCTCATTGATTTCTTGGGGAAATTTAAACTAATATAATGTAATCAACCTTTAACTTAGGTCTACAATGGAAACTCCATGTACAATTTCGAAACTTAAATTTATCAATTATAATACAAAACTGATAGTAAAGAAAAGAAAAGGAGGTTCACAATAAATTGTACAAACAGTGGGAGATGAATTTACTTTAAAAACTTTAGGCTAGGCCTATTACAATGGTTTTAATTATTTAAGTTCAATGTTATAATTTACTGTAAGGATCTTAATCTCAGGTGGGGTGATCGAGCGGCATTTGAATTTAATCTTGTGATATAAGCCTAATTAAATTTTGTTTTAAAATATAAAGTATGTTCGAATTATAGATTGGTTGAATTAATAATAATTTTGAATAAGTTAAGCTTCTATTAGTTCTTGACTTTGAATTTGAGTACAAATGTCCAAAGGTTGGGCCTAAAAATGTTTAATGGCTTCCAAAGGGGAAAATGTCTATTGGAGTAATCTCACCAAAATTGATGTCTTCTTTGAAGTAAAGTTCTTGATGTTATAAATTATGAATGTTCGTCACAAGGATGGTTCTTCTTTCAACAAATTTCACTAATTTTGTCCGAATAATGTACTTTTTTTTATAAAATTTTAATATTAAATATGTAGTGTCTAATTTGCATCTTCATACTATCTTGGCTCTATTGGAAGTGATGATGGTCTGATGTATTGTTGCACTCACATATGTCAATGCTGACTTAATAATATAAAATTGTAGGCCACTGTTTACACTTATATATTATAATAAATTTCATTTGCTAGAGAGCTAAATTATAATTTTGAAAAGTTATTTAAATAAATTTATGTTGAATTTGAAGCAATTTTGTTACAAAAGTTATAGGCTATTATATATTTACATGATATTAGGTTATTTGAAAATTTCTATATTATATTGTATTAAATTGATTACCTATTGGTCTGCATGGACAATTAATTACTATATATGGTTTGAAAAGGGATTGACATTTACATAAAATGAAAAACATGGTGGAAATTAAATTATTCTATAAAAAAATATTGGTGAAAATATTGAATTGTTACAAAATCCCCGCAGAAATGGAGTTATAATGAAATTACTAACGACATTTCGAATTAACAATGAAAATATTTACACCGATTAAAACTGATAACAACACACAAACAATGAAAGAAACAATAAATTATTACTTTGAAGTACATGAACATAACAAAACATTAATATCCTAACTAACATAATGAGAGATATTTAAAAAACACAATATTTAAAGGGGTTTCCTAAGTATAGCATAGATGGATTTCAAGGTCTTTATCCTTCACTAACTCCTATTATTTTTTATAAATCATTTTCCTAAAATGCATTCTTATGTAATGATTGGTTATTGTTCTATATACATATACATTCATTTTATTGTTTTATGGGAAAAGGGAGGGGAATTGTTTCTATTATGACTGACGACTGTACACAACACAACAGGCGCGCACTAATCGCATCACTACTCTTCATGTTTGGAGGGAATTTTGGTTTGTTGGATCTTGAGGGGTGATGTATTTTTTGAGGGCAGAGACGTGGTAGGGTCCATATTCGTTTTCTTCTATTAGGTCGATAACGTTGTATGTTGAGTGTCCTAATTGTTTGGATATCTTGAAAGGTCCCTCGAAGAGCTCGAAAAGTTTGGCGGTCTCGCCATATGCAGCGTTGGAAAGGGGGTGGTTTTTCACTAGCACAAGTTCTTCGATGTTGAAGGTTACAGGGTTGTTCCGTTGATTGCGTTTATTCGCTCTTTTCTGCCTTTTGGATTGGATTCTTTCTGAAGCGAGGAATAGTTTTCTTTCCAATGGAATGTTTGGAGTAAAAGGATTTCTGATGTAGTTTTCCCAAAATTTTAAATCTTTATGTCCCAACTGTAGTTCATTTGGACTGAAACCTGTGGTTTCGTGGCATACTTCATTAAGACAGTTATTAATATCGGTTTTGTAACTTGCCCAGTTTTGGTGTTGGTGTGAACAATAAGTTCTCAGACATCTCTTAATTTCCTTTATCGGTCTTTCCGCTAGATTATAACAAGGGTGGTATAGGGGGCTGTACACTGGTGTAATGTTATGTTTTTCTAAAGTTTCCGTCCAAAGTTCACTTTTAAACTGTGTCGCATTGTCCGACTGAATGCGTCTGGGAAATCCGAATTCTTTGAAGTGGTGGTCAAATAATTTGTGGAGGATAATTTTGGTAGTGGCACGTTGCATGGGGTATAGTTTTACGAACTTGGTATATATATCAATGATTATTAGGATGTATTTCACATTGCTTCGGCTGGCAGGTAAGGGTCCTATGACATCAACGGCAACTTGAGCATTCTTGTAGAGACATTGAACTCCTTGAGCAATTCCTTGATTTGGATGGGGATTTGATTTACAGCGTTGACAAATATCACATGAGGCAAGTATAGTTTTAATCCTCCGGCGCATATTTTTGAAAATGAAAGTTTCTGATAAGAGTTGATGACATTTTGTGGCTCCACAGTGTAAATAATAATGGTGACACTCCCATACTAATCGTTCTACTATATTATTCGGGACGATAATCAACCATTTGTTTTTGAGTCTTTGGTACAGTATGTTGTTATGTAGCCTGTAATTTTGGGAAGTGTGTTGGTGATCAGGATGTTCTGGTCCATTGCTTAAAATTTGGTAGAGCGGTTGTAGGTGGTGGTCTTCTGACTGATGATGGGACAAATTTTGAAGTTCATGTTGTAGTTCAGGATCCTGGATTCGTTGGATGTAATTTAATGTGAGTTCTGTTGGTGAATTTGGGAAGTTGCTGTCGGTTGGTGTGATTCTGCTCAAAGTGTCGGCAGTGATGTTTTCAGTTCCTTTACAATGTGTGATGTTAAAATCAAACTCTTGAATGGCCAAAATCCATCTTGTAAGCCGATTGTTTCTTAAGTGGCATGTTTTAAGAAAAGTAACCGCATGGTTGTCAGTGATAATATTTAACTTTGAGCCCAATACTAAGTATCTAATTTTCTGCAGACAGTAAACGATTGCCAAAAGTTCCTTCTCTGTTGTTGTATATCGCTGCTCGGCAGGTTGTAATGTTCTAGACAGGAACATAATTGCAGCTTTATCCCCGTCCAAGTATTGATATACATGTCCACCAATAGCGACATCGGAAGCGTCAGTTTGCAAATGGAACGTCTTCTTGGGATCTGGGTGAAATAGAACACTGGTTTTAAGGAAGAGGTTTTTAACTTCTTGGAAGGTCTTATCGTCTTCTTTCGTCCATATGAATTTATTCTTCTTTGAAGTGAGTCGTAAAAGCGGGTAAACAGTACTGGAGTATTTGTTGAGGAACTTGTTATAATAATTAATACATCCTAAGAATGACTTCAATTCGGTTCTATTTTTAGGTGTAGGGAATTCTAGTATAGGCTTGATTCGGCTCTTATCCATTTCTAAACCGCTCTCAGTGAGGGTATATCCAAGGAAGGGGACAGAACTTTGACAAAATTTGGATTTGGAGAATTTGGCGGTCATGTTAGCTTCTTTTAGTTTGTTGAAAATGTAACTTAGATGTGTTAAGTGTGACTCAAAATCGGGCGATACTATACAAATGTCGTCAATGTAAATCATAGTGAAGTCTTTCACTGATTCGTCAAACACTTGGTCAAGAGCTCGTACCAAAGCGGCTTGCGACGTTGATACGCCAAACGGAGTTACTTTGTACTGATAGGTCTTCCCGTTGAATTGAAAGGCGGTGTATTGTTTTGACTCTTCAGACAATGGGATTTGCCAATAAGAAGAAGTAAGGTCTATACTGCTTATAAACTTAGCGTTGGGACATCTAGCTAATAATTCGTTTACGGATTGGTTACATTCGTAATCAGGGACAATTACTTGATTTATGCTTCTCGCATCTAAACACAGGCGGATCTCTCCTGACTTCTTAATGACTGGTATAATGGGGTTTACAAAAGTACTATAACATTTTTCGATCACGTTTAAGCTTTCCATTCGTTCGATTTCTTGAAGGACTTTATCTTGATGAGCAATGGGAACTGGGTATGATTTCTTCTTAAAATTTTGAGGATTTTCAACTTTTAAAGTATGTTTGTATTTGTTGCAAACTCCTGGTTCGTCTGAGAAGACATCTTTATACTTTAGTATTAGAGATTCAAGTTTAGAACGCTGTTCTTCATTAATTAACTGATTATCGGCAAGAGAACTTTTGACTATCCCTGGTGAAATGCTGCTTTGAGTTTTGCTTGTTTGTGAACTGTAACTATGTGTATTTATTTCATTTGTATTATTATATATTAAATCATCTTCATAATTGTATGTTTCACTTGTATTGTAGTTAATGTAGCAATTGTATATTCCGTCAATAGTTACCTCTCCAAACTTCAAATTCACATCATTATTATTAATATTTATATTTATTGATTTGTGTTCGAAGTCGATTCGTGCATCCCATAAGCTTAAAACATCTGTTCCTATAATTAATGATCTTACTAGGTGTGGTACAAGCAAAGTTTGTATGTATGTTGGTTGATTATTTACTTCAAATGGCAGCAATAAGATTTTAGATACCCGTTTTGATTTCTCTCCGGTGGCAGTTTTAATGAATGTATTGCTAAAAGGGAGTTCTTCAAATTCAGCTAATTTATGTTTATTTTCATTGAACCAATTTTCGTTTAGACAGGTAATGTTAGAACCTGTGTCAACTAAAGCACAGATAGGAATATTACTGATTTTTACATTTATCTCTGGGCAGTTTGCTTTAAAATTGTTAGTACAGAGTTCATCTATTGTTTCTTCAGTCAATAGGAATTCACGGTTACAACAAATTGTGTTAATATGTAAAGGTTCTATGTTATTTTGGTTATAATTATTTATTTAAATAGTCGGTCTGTTTAGTCCGATTTGGTTCACAGGCGCTGAAGATTCTAGAGTTGTATACAGACCAGCAGTTTCGACAGCGCCTACCCGTTTAAAGGCGGCTGCCCGCTGTACGGTTGTGTCGTACTGTTAGGCGGTCGGTGTTGTGAAGGAACTTGCGAAATTGAATTACACATTTGGACTTGCTCTGATGTTGGGTACTCACGGTCGTGGAATTGATTCGTGTTATGTTGAGGATTGTGAGTAACCGTCATGTAATTCACATTGCCTCGCTGTTGTTGTGGTGGTGGTGGATTTCTTGGCTGCCAACTTGGATTATGTTGGGGCCGGTGGTTTTGATAGTACTGAGATTTTTCTATCTTTGGATTGTAGGTATGGGGATTAGTGTTCTGATAGTGATTTTGAGCTTGAAAGCTGGGTCGATTTTGGTAGTTCCTCCGATTGTTATGGTAGTTATTAGGATGATCGTTCCGATTTTGATTATTGTGAGATGGTGTTGGACTGGAGTTATTTTTAGGCCGTTTCTCTGCGTCGTGTAGATCTTGTCGTTGAAGTATTGCTTCAAACTCGTACACACTGCTTGCATTTTGCACACGTCGTGCGTCTTGAATAAGTGGGCAAAAATGGTCTGACAAAATAGCGACTATTTCATCTTCAGTCAGCGCTGGAGTGAGGGATCGTAGCGTGATGACTCGTTCAATAAAATACTCGGATCGAGTTAACTTTCCGTTAGGCTTGTATTGTTCGGATTCGATTTTGTGCTTGATTGCCCGTTGAAGGTTACGATTCCAATACTTGGAGATAAATTGTGTTTCAAAATCTTCCCATGACTTCAAATCATTTTTTACCAATGAAAACCATCGTGAAGCTTGGTGTTCAAGGCTTGTTTCAAGAACGTCTTTTAAGATTTCGATGGGGTTTTGCTCAGTGCTTTGCCGTGAAAGTAATTTTTGGTAATATCTCTTCAGACGTGTTAGATATTCCGGGGGATTATGGGATCGACCACTGAATTTAGGTAAAGTCAAATCATTGGTTAAGATTGAACTTCCACAGGTTACATGGATTTGAGGGGGTAGAAAAGTGGTTTCCTGTTTCAGCTTTTGTTCAAGGTCGGCTTTAATATTAGTAAATTTAGCTTCTTGTTCTTGTATGAGGTTTGTTACTTGGTTAAGTGTTTCTGTTGTTTGCAGAATTGTGTTTTGGTTGTATTCAACTACCGGTGCCAATTCATTTCTTATTTCAGTGGTTTTTAAATTTACATAATTTTCTAAATCTGATTTAGTGTTCTGGGATGTTTCATTGATGTTTAGGGTTAGTTTGGTTTCAATTTTGTGACTTTCGTCAGTGATGATTTGATTGGTCTTAATGCGCTCATTAGCTACAATATTGGACACTTCTTTTCTAATTTCATCATTCTGTTTATACACCTTTTTAATTATGTTGTGTTCAATTTGTTGTAGTTCCAAAGTCTGTACTTGTTGGATAGCACGGATTTCGTCTAGTTCCTTGCGCATGTTGTTTTGATTTTCTGATAGAGTGTTAAATTTAGTATTTAATTCATTTTTAACCTCGTTTTTGACATCATTTAGGCCCTTATTAAGTTTGTTTTCAACACTAGCTACTTCAGTTTTTACTTCATTTAGACCTTTATCGATTTTATTTCCAAGCAGTTCAAATAATGAAATTAATTTGCATTGAAAATCATCCGTAACGACTGTCGTCTTAGTTGGTGAGGCATTTACAGATGTGGTGACGTCATAGTTAGAGTTTGTTAGAATCAGCTGTCTTGTAAGTGTGGAGGGAGAATGAGACGGGATAACATCGGATGTCTTCGGAGGCGTTCGGGTGTTGTCGTCGGCGAAGTCCGGTATCGGCGGCAGCTGTTGCTGTTTCTGTTGGCCTTGACATTCAAGATGGCGGTTTCCAGTTTCTGCTCGAGAAATGGCGTCTGTCATGTTTACTTCTGCTTCGGTTTTATTAAACTCGGTGAAAAGTTCGTTATTATTGTGCCCGGGTAGATTGTTTGATTGTTCGACTTCGTGTTGTGTTATTACGTTGTCAGGTTGTGCGGGATTTACGAACGAACTATGTTGTGTGAATGTTGAAGTGTTATTATTGTCACTAAGATTGTCAGTGAGGACTTGAACGTTGTCAACTGTGTCAGTCATAATTATTGGGTTGGGAATGGTATTGCGGGACCTCAAATTATAATTATGGGGCATGGGATTACACAAGAAGGGAAAAGGATATTATTTACATTTATGGTATGTTAACTCAATAAATCTCTTTAACTAAATGGTGAGTTGTTATTTCTCCGTCTTAACTGCTAACAAAACTCGTTCTAAGGTTTCAAAATTGCTTCATTTGGATCACAAGATTAAATTCGTTGCCAATACGTTGGTGCGCCATTTTTGTAATCAACCTTTAACTTAGGTCTACAATGGAAACTCCATGTACAATTTCGAAACTTAAATTTATTAATTATAATACAAAACTGATAGTAAAGAAAAGAAAAGGGGGTTCACAATAAATTGTACAAACAGTGGGAGATGAATTTACTTTAAAAACTTTAGGCTAGGCCTATTACAATGGTTTTAATTATTTAAGTTCAATGTTATAATTTACTGTAAGGATCTTAATCTCAGGTGGGGTGATCGAGCGGCATTTGAATTTAATCTTGTGATATAAGCCTAATTAAATTTTGTTTTAAAATATAAAGTATGTTCGAATTATAGATTGGTTGAATTAATAATAATTTTGAATAAGTTAAGCTTCTATTAGTTCTTGACTTTGAATTTGAGTACAAATGTCCAAAGGTTGGGCCTAAAAATGTTTAATGGCTTCCAAAGGGGAAAATGTCTATTGGAGTAATCTCACCAAAATTGATGTCTTCTTTGAAGTAAAGTTCTTGATGTTATAAATTATGAATGTTCGTCACAAGGATGGTTCTTCTTTCAACAAATTTCACTAATTTTGTCCGAATAATGTACTTTTTTTTATAAAATTTTAATATTAAATATGTATTGTCTAATTTGCATCTTCATACTATCTTGGCTCTATTGGAAGTGATGATGGTCTGATGTATTGTTGCACTCACATATGTCAATGCTGACTTAATAATATAAAATTGTAGGCCACTGTTTACACTTATATATTATAATAAATTTCATTTGCTAGAGAGCTAAATTATAATTTTGAAAAGTTATTTAAATAAATTTATGTTGAATTTGAAGCAATTTTGTTACAAAAGTTATAGGCTATTATATATTTACATGATATTAGGTTATTTGAAAATTTCTATATTATATTGTATTAAATTGATTACCTATTGGTCTGCATGGACAATTAATTACTATATATGGTTTGAAAAGGGATTGACATTTACATAAAATGAAAAACATGGTGGAAATTAAATTATTCTATAAAAAAATATTGGTGAAAATATTGAATTGTTACAATAAATATGTTATTCTTTAAAATATTCACCCACATTGTAAGAGTTTCATTTATTCATAAGGTTTCCATTGATTTCAAATATATTTGTAAAAGTAAAATTCAAAGATGAAAATACTTTTACTTAGTATAGATTACCATTAATTATATAACTAATAATGAAACATATAATAAAATGATAGACAATGATAAAAATGCGAATGATCAAAAGACGCAGAAAAAGTGTTTAGTGAAAGATATCATGTTTTTTATGATGGGAAAAACTATTACTGTACAGCTAAAATGAATCCTTGAACATAATATAACAAGACAATTTCCCCCTTATTTAAAAATGTATCATTTCGTATCACTTTTATAAAAACACAATGTGTAATACATTCTTGAGAAAAAAATTTTTAAATATAATTTGCGATTAACGTACATATACAGATCACTTCACAGTTTTTGGGAAATGTCAATTGTGTAACATAAATAAGTTGGTGGAGGGTTATCTATGCATTAACCAAAGAAATGAGATTTTATTTTTACCTCTGCCATAGCTGTTTTAAGGAAATAGTAATCTATAGCCTCCAACAACTACTTTCTAACCTGTTAACTGGTTATCTATGCATATGTATGTAGCCTATCAAAGCAAAAAAAAATGCCTGTATAATTTATAATATTTTAAGTATTTGTGAAAATATTTACACTTGCCGTATCGAAATATTTGTTATCATAATATTATATATATAGATAAAAAATGAAAAAAATATATAACCATTATAGATTTTTATCACTTAACACCTAATAATTTAATTTCTAAGTTATGAAAAATAAACTTTGCTTAAGCATCATATTCAAGGTATAATAGTGTTTCCGTCTTTTAATTACTAGCGTTATTGAAGGACTTCTTTTACTAATGTTTTTATGCGTTGATTTTCCTATACAATTAATTCTGATTGTGTTAATAAGCATACTTTACGTTTACTGTCAACTTTAGTTGATTTACTTACTGGTTCAACAAACCACTATTATATTCGAATCAATTTTAATTAAAGATTGTGCAGCTACCGTAACACCGAAATACATGCGATGTGACATTAATGAAAGCTATCCAACAGACTATAACTTACACGGCGTTGTATCACAGAACACGTTTTCTGGTTCAGCCTTACTAAGAGTTGACTGTTAAAGGCACAGATTTTTTGTGACTTTTTCAAATCCTCCCGAAACTCCGTGGACTTCTGGTCTTCGTAGGAGGCTCCTGTAGTGAGCTGACAGAATTATCAGCTGACAGATGTTTTAAATAGTTTTATTGAATTTTGGTTGCTATGAAGAGGAAAATAAACAAAGAGACATTCTTTTAGGTTTTTCCAACAAAAGTGGTTTATAATTACTTTTAAAAATATGTTAAATTAAAACAATTATATTTAGTGGAAACCTCTAGACTTTATTTCAAGTATTCTCCTATTTAAAAGTGGTTCTTTCCACTAAATAACTATCTAAAAGCAGACGGGAAAATAAACTCAAATCGATTTAATGGTTTGTTGCCATTGAAAAACTGTATGTCTAATATTTATTGTATGAAATGGACGTCAATGAATAGAAAATGAACAGTCATACTAAAAGATGTATCACTCATAACTTAATTTTTAATAATGAGTATTCTATAATAAGTAAACTCTTTTTGAAAACAGTTTTCTCAAAGCATATTCAAATATTGCCTTACAACGTTTTAATGATTTAAAATGTAGTTAAACTAGCTAGTAAAATCAGATTTCCAAATAACTTTTACAATCCAATTCTATAATTTTATTTCCAATGACAAATAAATCGTAATAAGTTAAATTAATTTCTTCGTTTTACCAAAGATCGCTCTTTTTAATGGAGTAAAGGTATGCTCGTCATCGGGAGATCTTGATTATATTTTTACCACAAGCAAATAGTCTTATAATACCAAAATATTTATGGTGAGTGTAAAGGTGTCCAATAACCCCAGGAATGTGGTGAACGATATAGTGTTATCACAACCTTTCTAAGAGTTTAAAAATATATTATGTACTGTAGTGAGATGTGTGTTTTCTTAAAGCAATGAAAAAGATTCGCAAGTATTAACACATATTTCCAGATGATAAATTCAGATTATCGTAATACTTCTTATCTAAAGTTAAGTTAAGTTACTAGTTAGTTGTATTTATGCAATGATAGGTCATCAGTATAGACAGATGCAATCGAACATTACTGCAACAATTTAAATGTCATAGAAGTACCACCTTTGTTTTCATTTAATTGGAGTTGAACATTGGTTTACGACTAATTCTCAGAATGTTTTACTGCAATATATTTTTATACATATGAATAGGCAGTAAAGATGTAATAACTGAATTATAAGGTTTATTAGTATGTGTTATCTCTATTTAATGGAATACATTTCAATTATTGCTCTTTTGTATAAACAACATCAAATCTATACAGCCGTGTAATTTGTTAACATCAACTCTGGGTATTGATTGCATTATTGTTGCAAAGTGTTTTGTTAACTTGTCCTACCTTCTTATATTTATAAACTGCATTGAGACTAGACAATCTGCTACAATGGTAATTGTGACCACGTAATTTATTTTATGTGTCCTAGATCATCGACAAAATCTCTGTGAATTTATGTTATAATAATAGTCGTTTATTTATCATTACTTTTGTCTTAGTTCAAAAGTAGTTTTAATATAAAATAATTTTGGTAAGAGGTGAACACTTTTCATTATCAAAATGATAATTAACCAATCACATTCATAGTTCTAAATCAAATGATTTATAAGATTAGTAAAACAATAAGTAAACAAATTAGTACAGCCTCCTTTTAGATTAGTAAGCAATTCGAATTAATTTATAACGCTCTAATAATTAGAATTCTTGTTCAAAACACACGTTCCAATCACAAAACCAGAATTAAATAATAACTATAATTGTTATTTTATAAAAATTAAAATCAAAAGAATTAAGTTAAAACTGATTAAGATTAATACCAAACAATCACTGAATTATAAAAGTTGTGGCTAACATTGCCAAAAATAAATTAGTCACCTTAACACAAATCCAGGCGGCACGTGAAATGTCCCCGAGACAATCTGGGGCCAAGTGTCTCCCTTTCGGTCTAACTAAAGCCTCAGTTTCTCCAAGCTGCAATTGCTGAGTTTACGGGTTTGATAATTTATCGATTAAGTAGGTTACATGTCATCAAGAAATGTGCCAACGGTCCGACGCTGGTGTATGAATTGTGAAATCAATTTACCATTAACTCCATGTATCCATTTAACTTTTACTTATAAATAATAATCCCGAGATTTAGAAAATAATTTTGGTGACTACCCGTCACAACAGATTATCAACGTGGAGTAGAAGTATGCAAATTACCCAATGCCATTCGTAACAAATACGAAAGTAAAGGATTTCTTCAAGATTATAGTATCATAGCCTTTTAATTACCAAAATATATTTGAGAGGAGCGTACATATAAAAATTAGTTAATTTATCCATGGTAAAAAGTTAAATGAATTACAAATAATCAATGCTATCCAGAATCTATTGAGATACATTCAATTTATTTCATACAAATACAATCGTAGCATTCATTTTACCTAATACAAAAAGGATATGTCAGTTTGCATGATTTTTTATTTTTGCCTTTAAAAATGGACATTATGTATTTGTAAAAAAAAGTTTTACTGAACAAACCAGA